AACCTTACTAACTTCAGTTTTTAGAATAAGATTTTTACATTGCCATAGCATAAATCAGTCTCTCTCTCTCTCTCTGTCTCTCTCTCGCCGTGGGTAATCGGCTGACTTGTAGTCCAAACCATATGCAATTAACGTCCTTTATTTAGAAATAGTAGGTACTTCTCGGGAAACACCTCTTGAATGGGAATTGTGTGCTGCATATGCAGGCGTATGTCCGCCTGGCTATGAAATTGCCTTGTGAAAGCCACATTAATGCAGCCCGCACATAAGAACAACGGAGCCGCAGGAAGCAACCACCCCAGACAGAATGTGGCATGCTGCATGCTGTATGCTGCATTCAGTATTCAGCTCGTTGTGGATGACACCAGCCACCCCCCCCCCTCCCCAACCCATCCCCCTATCCCTTCTCGTATTACTCAGATGTGAGTTACGTTCGTGCCTGAATGGTTTGAGTGGCATTTGGCTTTGGGCTGCCACGAATTTGACTTTGTGTGACGCATTAGATGAGTAGCTAGCGAGCCTGGCTAGGCATTTCGTGTCAAGGACTTGGACTCCATCTTTTTCTTTTTTTTTTTCTTTTTTTTTTATAATTTTAATTAGGTTGCAACACACGTTTGTACGTGCTAAAATTCACATACACATTACCATTTAGAGAAAGGAAAAGCTGTGCAGTGCTGTGGCAGCGCCTAATTACCTCTACCTTTAAGGTAGAAGGTTAATCTCAAACCCCAAAGTCATGCTCTCATATCCACATAAATCACGCACACACACACACACACAGAGAGAGAGAGGGTGGGAGCGGGAGAGGGAGAGGGAGGGGGAGAGAGTTCTTCTCAAACCCTCAGTCGTCGCAGTGAGCAATTTGTCAAATGTTGGATACCCCAGCCATCCCATCCTTTTGTGCGTGTGCCGTGATTAACATAAAGCCCAACCACAGTGGTGGCTACCAATGCCAATGCGAGCCAAATGCAAAGTTTGTTAATAATGTCTCTCCGCATCGGGCATCAATCTGTACACCTGCCCTGTCCGGGCTGTCTGTGCTGTCCGTTTTCGGCTCCTGATATCCTCTGTTATTGCAAAATGTGCTACCGTTGAAGATGACATATGATTTGACTTGTGACCAAAAGATAAAACTGTCTGAAAACAAATATATTTCCGCTTAGACATACGATTTGTGTGTCATAGCTGAGGAGCAGCAAGGCAGCAAGGGAATCGCAACGGCTTTGCTCTCTTTATTCAAGATTCTGGTTAGCTTCGCTTATTATGAGGCACAGCTTTCCTTCTGGCCAGGCGGATTCCTTGCGCCTGTAATTTGTACGCACATGCCGAGAAGCGTGTTAGCTCCAGGCCCACCCCCACCCCCCTGGACACACTCCAGCACGAGTGCGACACGAGCTACTGAGCTACTTATGCAAATAAACATAGGCTCTGCGAGTGGGCGCTGCCTTTGTGGGCGGGTTTAAGTCGTGTGGCCGCTGACAAACTGCGGCTGGTCCTCTTGACTTTGCCATGCCCGCTGTGGAGCATATGGAAATACGATATTGTTAATTAATTTACGCTTTTATTGGTATTCGTACCTTCCAGTGAGCAGTTTTTGCTGAACGGGCACCAGCACATGCATATGCTGCCCATGTCAAAGCGAGCTTATGTCAAGGGTCATGTGTAAAAAATAAGTAAATCAAATGCTCGTTAACACCTCGACGCCAACTAGCATAGGTTGACGTTAGATAAATGGAACGCATGCTGCCAACAATGTATTTTTATGTGGTATCAAAGCGAACGAAAGGGCTCGGCTATTATTGTGTTCAAAATGTATCTTATATTCTTCTTGGATTTTTAATAGTTCTATATATGCATTGTGGAGCTTTCGAGTGTGACTGATAGTTAAACTTAAGTAAGATTTACTTATTAAATATTTATTTTTACTATATATACTTTTTAACTGTCAATGCAGAAATAAAAGTGAAAATATAATTACTTTAACTCTTTAAACATATATTTGTAAATGTATTTATTAGTTCTCAATACAGAAAACATTTTAGTTAGTACGCCGATTTTCCCATTTTTTAAAATTCAAATTCAAATTAGACCAGTGCTGCCATCTAGGTTATCTGTGCTGCCAGACTATTTAAAGCTACTTAAAATAAGCTGGTTGTTATAAACAGAAAGTGCATTGCTCAAAAACTAGGCAAACAAAAGCTAAATAGCATGAATAGCAAAAGTTCTAAAAGTATGTAAATATCCTAATTGTCTAAAATGCATGTCGTAAAAAATGTCAAATATCGTAAGTTTCAAAAATACAGGTTTAAAGTTTTAGCGCACAATCTACTAAATGTACTTTAAGTACGATAAGGTAAATGTCTGCACTTACTTATAATACGATTACCCATTACGAGCACCACTTCTACCCACATACCTATAATACGATTTAGCATACAAGTTGGAGAGTTCCTCGTTTCCAAAATGTAGGTTGAGTACGATAAGGTTAGTGTCTACACTTACTTATAATACGATACCCCATTACCACCACCACTTCTACACACCTACCTATAATACGATTTAGCATTCAAGTTGGAGAGTTCCTCGTTTTCAAAATGTAAGTTGAGTACGATACCCATAATACGATTACCCATTACCACCACCACTTCTACCCACCTACCTACATTACGATTTAACATACAAGCTAGAGTTCCTTGTTTTCAAACAAATTTTATTTAAACTTTTGAATGCCGGTCGGAAGTGTCGTACAATGGTGCTGATACATTTGTAATAGAAATATCGTATCATCCAGTGTCATTTCAGCTTTAGACAAGGTCTTGATGCGATGTTTTACTTTCTTCAAAATTTCACATTCGGGCGGCGTAAATGTCTCAACAATCTACAATAAAAAACAATTAATGAACACATTTAAACACATTTTTAGTAGTGAAACGTAATACCTCAGCTATATATTCGTCCGATTCCCCGCGTTCCTTCATGGTCTCAACTATGCTGTCCAGTCTTTGAGACTTCTCAATCAAGCCTTTATGCTCGTTTTTCTCATAGTTGGACCGTCTTATTGTATTGTACAGGGACTTGAAGCAATTGTCCAACAACATTCGTACAGTCTACAATAGAAATCGGAAGATTATTAAAACTAATATTTCACTTGAGGCACAGTTTTCTCTTACATCCTTTTCTTTGATTTGGAAAAGATAAAAAGCCTTGGCCGGTCCACTGCCGCCCCCGCCAGGTTTCTTGATAACTTTAACATGTATGAATTGTTCCTGGAACAGATTATAAGCAAGAGATTTAGCCTCCTTTGCGGGTATCATAGCCTCCTTTTGCAAATCCTCCTGTTCGATGTACTTTTTAAAGCGTATCACGCGAAATATACGTGCCGCCTTCGAGCCAAAGCGTTCAGTTATAACAGACTCCACACAGGCAAGAGCCAGCGATTCGAATGCTTTCTCCATGTCCACCAAATACTGCCCACCACCCATATCGCCCACTTTGCGAAGAAAACCAAGTGAATCATCCGCTGTAAGGAGTTTTTCACTTTTAATAAAACTATTTTTATATCTATTTGAGGTTTGTTTACTTATCAAGCATATATATTGATCCAAGAATTTCATCAACTCCAGATTATTCGATTTGCGCTCAATTGCCTGTTTTATCTCCACGAATGTAATTTGATTAGAAGCTTTCTATAAAAGAATGAATATTTCATGTTAAGAGCCTTTTTAGACATCGAACGCATACCCGCTGCCACGGATCTGTGGTGTTATATATTAGGTTCAGAATGAAACTAAAGCATTCAGCGGCATTTTCCCCCAGCTTCCGCTCAATGGCGAGTTTCATGATGTCATCACGGAACTCCTGATGAAAACGATCGTAGTTTAGGCTCCAGACGATGGCCCCATCCAATGCCTTTGACAGTGTCGCTTCACCTTTGCGTATCTGGCCCAACAGATGCAGATCTATGTTGGGTGGCACAAAGAAATCGCATTCGTTTGTCTGAAACTTGGGTACAGCCTCTTCCGACTCGTCACCAGTCATTAGCTCCGGTATTTTTATGATATAATGATCGGCTATCATTTTTATAAATGTGTCCCTGTAAGTTTCAGCACTCTCCGCTTTGTTTTCACCATCAGACAAACATTTGAGCAGCAAACCGGTTGCCGTTTCCGATCCCGCATTCAGCAGCTCCTCCGCTATAGAAGCGCCAACATTGCCGTACTTGGTCTGTACAAGGTGTATGTAGCTAAAATATAAACATATGGTTATATTTCCCACAACAAATATATTTTACAATATAACTCCAGCTCACCGGGAGTATCGAAGCAGGCATATTACATCTTCCCGACGGAGAGAATATTCGGGCAGAAATGGATTGTTCTTGGATGGCTCAAAGTTGACCAGTCGAAATTTGATGAGTACTGCCAGAGCGAGCATCACTTCCTTTCGCGAGAAATGTGTGCTGCTCACAATTTGTGACAGTGTGCGCGTGGTGGCTGAAAACAGGCAATCCGCCACGGACTGCACCACTTTGCCAAAGCATTGCTCGAGAATAGATGAGCACAAGTGTGCGTAATCAGCAGACATATTAAGTCTACCAAACAATCACAATATACTTTTAACCAGCCAAAACAATAAACAACAAACCCACCGGCAATATAGAGCGCGAGATACCATGCGATATATCGATACATCGATAGTCATATTTTCGAGCTGTTTTAGTGTTATAAGCACTAACAAAATAAATGTTTACCACATATGGTACAATGTACAATTTTCGCATATAAAAGTACCTCTTGATGTGTTTTTTTAGTATTTAATTTTATAAAATAAAAACAAGTTTCAATTTTGTTCTCCATGACCTTTTTAGAAAATAAGCGTCTAAAAATACGAAAGCTTTCACATATTTCAAAGTTGAAAATATAACCAATTTGTACTTTGTACCATTGAATAAAAGAAGTACCACTTTTCGTACCACATGTTGCAAAACTCGTTGTATCAACAAAAGTATCGATACTAGTAAAGAAAAACATTGCGCAGCAAAATATTTATTCTATAAATATTCGGCTAGTGGGGCTTTTGTGCCAAATAATTCGACTGCCTGATATATTGTCCATGCAGCAGAAAACCACTTTAAAGTCCATGGGTAGCAAAACGTGTGGCCGTTATCAACAATACGCTCGCCCATTTATTATAGTGTCTAACGCTTTTGATTTTTACACGGATATATATATAAAGCTGGATCGAACGAGTTACTAAAAAACCAAATTGTAATTACAGGTTAGAAATTGCATTAGATAAGATAAGCGCCCATAACTCATGCACATTTCACCAGATATTTCCCCCTACTGGACAACTCAATGTCGGATAGCGGCTTGGGTATGGCCGACCCGGACACCTCATCCGATTATCAAAGCCGTGCGCTCGATGAATTCCGCGTGAACTGGCAGCGCGAGCTACAAGATCAAAACGAATCATCGCGTATGCCGGCCGAGGCGGGAGAGCAGCCGGCAGAAGCTAAGGCTCAGAGTTTATATCGCACTGCTGTTGAGCTGGAGCAGCGGGGCAAAGTGTATGACGCTCTGGCCTACTACCGCAAAGCCACCCAAATTGTACCTGATATTGAGTTTAAGTTTTATGAGCAGCAAAATTTGAATAACGATGTCAACAAATCGTACCACAATCTGCTCAGCAATTTTAGCAAGAATCTCGATCTGCACGAGACGGAGGCTAAAGAGGATGTCGTACCAATTGATGGTTTGTACGAGAAGTTCCAGCGCGATCTTTGCTGCGAGGAAATCTACGGTGGCAAAATCTTGATTAACAGTCGCGATACGAATGTTCTGACTTCGGGAAGCAACCTACATATATCCGATCTACCAGCCGAGATTCTACTACATATACTGCGCTGGGTGGTGTCTTCGCAGCTGGATATGCGCTCCCTGGAACAGTTTTCGGCCGTATGCAAAGGCTTCTATGTGTATGGACGTGACGAGGAGCTGTGGCGTTTGGCTTGCGTGAAGTGAGTTTCAAGGTTTTTAATCATATCAAAAGTTAAATAATTTATCTATCTGCCAGAGTGTGGGGTAGCAATGTGGGCAGTTTGAATGCCAAGGATGGAGGAGCATGCTACGAGACCTGGCGCGACATGTTTTTACGGCGTGAACGTGTGCTCTTCAATGGCTGCTACATAAGCAAAACAACCTACTTGCGCATGGGTGAAAATAGTTTTCAGGATCAGTTTTATAGACCACTACAGCTAGTTGAATATTATCGTTATATACGCTTTCTGCCCGATGGCAAGGTGCTCATGATGACCAATGCCGATGAGCCTGCACAGGGTGTTAATAAACTGAAACAAATATATCATACACGTCCTGATGTACTGCGCGGTCGTTATCGACTTTTTGGAAGCACTGTCACCCTGGTGCTGCAGAAAACACAGCAAGCGAGGGCCACAACACAGCGACATCGACGTGGTAGCCTTTTGCCCGGAGACGAGGAGGGGAACAATACGCAATATGTGATAGAGCTGCGTATCATGAACTCACCCAAGCGACGATTTGCCCAGTTGGTGTGGTCCAATTACACCTTGGTGCAGCAGCGTAATAAAGTGGAGACGAGCTCTGCGTTCGAATTAACTGCTGCCAAGTATCCGCCGCTGTGGTTCTCCGCCGTTAAGAGCTATCATCTGGATGCAGATGCGCCGCTGACTTAAATTTTTCTTTGACTTTCGACCACGTTAATAAAACAAATTGCATAGCGTTTCTCTAATTAAAAGTTTTTAGTGTGAATGGAAATAACGAGTCGTTAGCAACTATGCGATTATTCGGCATTAGCTGTCTAAAAGCGTACAACGTTCTTAACAACTAGAGCATAAAATCATCCTAGGATAAGTGAAGAAGCTTAGCTTTTCATTATCTAAGCTAATGCAATTTGCAATTGAAATAAATTGTTTTCGTTTTTGGACTGGCTGCGTAATTGATCTATGTTTCGGACTGCACCACTACGTGCTCATAGCGCATCTGATCGGGCGTATCCCAGCAGCTCTTGAGGCAAGTAAAAACTAACACATTGCCATATTCGATTGGCGCATTGCAGGAATTCTGTTGGAATCGCAGCTTTGGGATCAGCGTGGGCAGCAGCTGCACCTCACATATGGTTTCACCCTTGCAATTTTGACACTTTGGCAGCGGCTCGTTAAGCGGTGCCACCAACAGTGGATATGCGTCACGGGAATATCTGCAAAGGATTTAGTATATTTAGCAAACGCTTACTTTAAGCATTCCATACATACCTCAATATCTGGCCTGGATTCTGCTGTATAGTTGTGATAAAATTGTGAAACACCACATCACCATGGGCGGGCAGCGCCTTCTCGTACGCCTCCTGCTCTTCGCACGCCTCACTGCTGCCCGCAACTGATGCGACGTCGGCAATTGGCGAGCGCGCTGGATTCTCATCCTGCAGCTTGTACTCTTGATATAAATCGCGAATGTGATCCATTGAAAGTAAACCACCATAGTTCTCATACTCCTCCTGCTTCGCATTGGCCTCGACATCCACAGCAATGTAAATGGGCTTTAGCGTGAGGTCCTTGATCTGGGACAGGGGTCCCAGGGTGGCCGGCAACGAGGTATGCTTCAGCAGCGCAATAAGATCTCGTTCCGGTTTTTTCGGTGTATCGACTAACACAACATCCGTTTCGGGTCCCTCGATTTCCGCGCATATCAATGCCGTGGCACCTGCGCCTGCTACATCGCCACTCGCTGTAGCCACAACTGCAGCAGCACAATTGGCATTCGGATCCTCGCCAGCTTTCTCTGGTGAGTTCATATCTATTTGACCAAACCCGCAGACCAAATCATTTTCAAGAGAGGTACTCTCATCGTCATCATCATCTTCGCCCAACTTGGCTGCATCGTGCGCCCCAGTTCCTGAGATCTCGATATCATCATCGGCCTTCTCATATTGCAAGGCACTTGGCCGAACATTGCCATTTCGCTCGTTCTGCTCATCATCCGCCGTCTGATCCATGGCCTCGTCCACGATTTCCGGCTCGCCCCAGCCCCAGTCATCAGCTCCGCTACACCAGTTCACCTTTGGCGAGGCACTTGACTTGTTCTTCTTCTTGTTCAGCTTGCTGACCGACTTGGGCGACTGCTCGCTGATGACATCAAACTGATTATCCAAATGCTGAGTCCGCACGCACACCCAACTCCTTTGGTTCTGCGAACAAGCTGGGCTCACGCAGGCAAATACATAGAGATTGCGATGAAATTGCGAACGGTCCAGGGGCGCATACATCTGGACGATTAAAGGACGCACCATGCCGCACAGTGGGCAGGCGGGCACGGTAACTTCATGTCTCGGCCAATTCTATTGGTAAAAAATCAATTTTAATTATGTGCTGTCTCTGCATGTGCTTCACTACGTAAGTATGTATGTATGTATGTATGTATGTGCATGGTACTTATGTCTGTGTGCAAGATGAGCTTCATTTGCATAGCTGTGACAACCTACAAGGATTGCTAAGTGAGCAGCCACAGAATAATTATGGATTCAACTAAATGGGTCAAAATGAATGACCGGTGTAAATTATGTCCCATAACATAAATATACCACTATATACATACATACGTAAATATAGGTCCTTATTCACTCTCTTATATTTGTTAAAATCCTGTGAAAGGAACTACAAAATCGCTCATCGCTTGTACTTACGGGTTCTCCACCTATTTTATTTGTGCAGCTATTGAGTAACGCAACCTGCTTGGCCGTAATTTCTTCATCATCGTAGCCTAAATACACTGTTGATTTATTCTTTGCCATTTTTTCATGTTTTAAATCGTTTTTAGCTGGACACAAAAAATGTTACCCCTCTCAGCCATCATACTTGTCCAACGGTGTGGCTCCTATCGATACTTCGATGTTAGCAAATCATCGATAAGTGGTGGCACACTGACATCGATATATAAAACGGAAAAAATTGCGCTTAAACTCAACTTTAGCGACCGTTTTTAAACAATCATAAATTCCTTTTTTTTAATTGAGTCATTTTGTTATATTAAGTATTATTGTTTAATTCAATAACCGAAATTATTTATAACAATGCAACAGTTGTTTGGACATGACACTTGTCGAACTAAAGCTTTCACTGTTACTTATACACACACAAAGGATGTGGGGGAAAGCTTTCGAATCCTTTCACGTATATTTGCTACCGTGATTGCTATACGTGAGAAAATATTACAAATGCTCGAAGAGCCAGTGTAAAATTATTAGAAAATTTACTACAGTCGGTGCCGCACGACCCGTTGACGCGGAAAAAAATGTTTATATTAAACGAAATACATTATTTTAATTGTAAAAGTCCGATTTGAACTTGTAAAAATATTGTATTAATAGTGTACCTAGATTCTTATAAAAACGTAGTATTTGAAAACTAATTACAGTAATTGGTTAAATTTGAAAATTTATTATTGGTTGCTGTCATATAGAAATTGTCGAGCAAAACAGTCATTGTCCTGTGAAAAATCGATTGAATTTCTACCGTGGTACACTCTGTGCTGTCATTTCATGAGCTTTTCTAAATTAGTTCAATAGAAATCAAACGCGATTTTTGTATAAGCTACATATATGATTAAAGCATTCTAGAAATTAATTAAAAGGAAGCTTTAAATAACCACGATCTCACGCATGAACCAACATGATTGTTGCATCTGGTGTGGATAGCACTGCTTCATTGGGTAAGTTGTCAATGTCAATTTTCAGTTTTCATTTGTTATTTACTGGGTGACCGACGGAGTGGTATGGTGGGGTAGGTCTGTTGTGCGCACGTCGGCTTCCATTGGTTGCCTTTTGATGTGATAATGAATGTGGATTGTTTTTACTGGTTTGGTTTTCAAATAAATGTTTGTCTATTGTTGAAGGTACTGTTGAGGTCACAACTCTTTTGGGCGCATTTTTTGGCGTATTAGTGCTACTGCTCCTGCTGTTCCTCTATATAAGTCGCAGATGCTGCTTTCATCATCGCCATGGCATCAACTGCTGTGACGAGCGACACTTGGCGGCCAAATGTGTGCAGAAGATTAGTAAGTTCTTTAATGGAGGAGCACCATAGGATTAATAATTTAAAACAATTGCCTATTCAGCACGGAAACGTCGCTATGAGAACACCAGCTCCGACTCTGAGGAGGATATGCTGCGACGCCTTCGCTGGCATCAGCAGAATAATAACATTCTACCAAATGGCAAATTTGTCGGCTATGGCATGGGCATTGACCAAAGGAATCCATTGACAGGTCACAATTTCAATTATCATCAAGCTGACCTGCAAAGGGTCACAGTGACACGTGACCCTTTGGCAGTTGCTGAGCGGGGCAAGGTCGGCATTCCTTCATCGCACAGCGAGTGCAGCTCCAATGATTCCATCGAGGCGTCTGTTGACAGTCACACTGGCATTTTGACAGGCGAAAGCAGAGGTACAAATACGTGATTATAATTCAAGTGGATGCCCATACAATATACTTATTTATATATTCCATTCACAGCTGTTCCGGTAGCATCACTGAGAAACTCCTATGCCAAGTCACAGAAATATCAGCACAAAGTCGACGTGCTGCCACCGAAGCCCGAGAAAGAGAGGGATAGCGTGATGGTGGTTCCAATTGCTAGCTTAAGTAACAACAACAATAATAGCATTGCAAACAATAACTACAATCAGAGCTGCAACAACAACAACACCACCACAACCAGCAGCAGCAACAACAACAACGATGATGTAAGTTTAATATTATTGGAATGCCGAAGATTCAATACCCTTGCAGGGATATAGTAGTCATATAATAGACTTTTCATACCCGATTTTTCCCCTGTTTGGTTTGGCTCACATTTCTTAAAGAGACAAATGCTTTTCATACGAATGCTCTGCTTTCGACCAAAAGTTCCTTGGATTGCGATCCGTAGCGGTCGACTCCCATTAACATACACTAGTTTGCCTATAGACACTCAGACGGACAAAGCTGAACAATAATATATACTTTACAGGTTCGGAGATTTATCCTTAAATGTGTTAGACATTTTATGCAAAGTTGATAATAACCTCTTTGAGGGTATAACAATGATGTGTCGGAACTTAATTCTTAATTGTATAAAATTCTCTTTAAGGAACCTCTTTTCGATACCAGCGACTTGCGTTCCATCAAGTCCGATGATATCCTGATCAACGATCCGAAGAGCACAGCTCCGCGAGGACCCATTGAACTGGAGATGTCCTTGCTGTACGATGCGCCCATGCGTAAAATGACGGTGCACGTGATGCAGGCAAGATGCCTGCCACCATTGGGTAATGGCCAGCAGACGCACACCCAGGTGGGTAATTAATTCGGCTAAGAATCAAGTCAAAGTATCAAGTGTTTAATGTTTTCTAGGTGCGCCTTCTGATGCTGCCCAACAAGAAGCAAAAGCACAAGACTAAGATACGCAGTGGCGAGAACCCACAGTATATGGAAAGTTTTCTGCTGCATCGTGTAAATCCCGAGGATGTCAACAACATGGGCCTTCGGGTGCGTCTGTATGGATGTGAGCGGCTGCGTAAGGAGCGTCTCATAGGCGAGGCCTATGTGAGTTTTGCTACTGTCGATTTGGAACTAGAGACTAATCTGTGGCTGCCGCTGGAGCCACGCAACACAACATCGCTTTTGGGATCAACAAGCGACCTATTGAGCTTGGCCAGATCGGACAGTGCTGGTTCCACATCCTCCATGCAACATGGAGGTGTCTCGGAACTGCTTTTGGGTCTTAGCTACAACGGTGTGACGGGTCGACTTAGTGTGGAGATTATCAAGGGAAGCCAGTTTCGCAGCCTAATGCTAAACAAGGCGCCGGATACATATGTCAAGCTGTGTATGGTTAGCAGCATTGGTCAGGAGATTTCACGCGCCAAAACGTCCATACGAAGGGGGCCCAATCCGCTATTCAAGGAGACATTTGCGTTCCAAGTGGCGCTGTTCCAGCTGAATGATGTGACGCTCATGATCTCGGTGTATGCCAAAAGGCACATGAAGAAGAACGAGATGGTCGGCTGGTTTAGCTTGGGCCTAAACTCATCAGGACCGGAGGAGTGTGCGCATTGGGCAGATGTCTGCGAAATGCCCAAGGGAGAGATGCTGGCGCGTTGGCATGTACTGGTGGATTCCTGATTCGAGCAGTTGGGACAGTCCTCAGGACTCAGCAGTAAGGCGCTCAAAAAACTGGGCTTTGCTGCGTTCAAGGACAAGTCCAAGGATAAAGCGCGTAAGGAGATGGATGAGGTTCAATTCCCTGCAGACAATGCGGTTGCAGTCGACATTGAGCCCGGCTTGGAGCTTGATTTTGTCTAGAATTTGGTCAGTTCTAGTAACCGGTTGGTAACCTTAAACATTTTGATTGGGGTTTTTTTAAGTGGAGCATATTTTGATCGTTAACATTGGTAACATTGTGTTCCCCCGAAAACTACATATTGTAATTTTTGAAAAGTCTGGTTAGCAGCCAGATGTTAGTCCACGAAGGCTAAACAAATTTTTTGTAATTTGGAAACAAATCAAATTTGGCACACATTTCTTATAAAATGTGTGAAGATAAAAAGAAGCAACACAGATAAGCAAAAACAATTAATTAGAATACTAAAATTTTGTACGCAACTGCATATGCATAACTTATTACTAAAATTTAAACTTTATAATTGTTTGTGATAATCGATATGATATGAAAAAGACAAAATAACAGCGACATGTATTCGCATGTCAATTTTTTGTAATTACTATTTCTCTGCAACTTAACACAATATATCTAACCGCAAAGGTTTTGATGGTCCCAAAGGACTAGCACTTTTTTTATTACCATTATTAAGAAATCCATAAGAAAAGCAAAAACTAATTATATACAAACATACATACTAGCATTGTTAAACATGTGTGTTAGACAGAACATTTGGATGTGTGACAACGACAAAGAAATAGCTTTTAACATCTGGAATGGTTAGTGAAAGAAAATAAACAGAATAAACCAAATTGAAATAAACACAGCTATATAACTACTAATGTTTCGTCGTATTACACATTTCACAGTGTTCTGGCTAACGATCTGCAAATAAATAGCAAAACAGCCACAATTGTAGCCAACGCAAACCACATTACAAATGCAAAAAAAAAAACGAAATTCTTGAGATTTTTAACAAGAAAATCATTGCGTATTGTTCCAGTTTTTATATGGATATATTAAATACCAGTACCTTAGGATTCAAATTAAATACGCACAAAAATCTATTGTACATCCGAGTGAATGTTAAGAGGCAGATCAAGTTTATAAATATAATTGGAAAATCCAGCACCATTTAATCATATTTAATGCAGGTTGCTTGGAAAATATATGAAAAAATATAAACAAAATATTTATAAAAACAACATTAAATGTTGAAGTTAGCAAAGAACAAATTCTATGTACTATTAACCAAAGAGTTTAGTGAGGCATGTTTACTATCGGGCTGCTCGGAAGGCATTTACCTTGAGTACATGGGTCGAACCATGTAATTACAGATAGAAAATTGAAAGCTTTAATAAATGTCGGTACTAAATTGATTTTTTAATTGTCAAAGCAAGTATTAAACTATGTACAACAAATGCTCATATGCAACAACCTAAAAACCTTAAAAGATAGTTTAAATATTTTATTACATATATTTGTATCTTTTTAAAAATCTCTATGTTTTCGATGTCCAATATTTTATTATCACAAATTCAATATGAATATGTGTTCGTTGTTACTGAACTTTGCGATATTAAAAGTTAATCTAAATAATACATAGATAAGTTTGGAGGGCTAAGTACAGTTGAGGAAGAACCAATGAAGTTGGAACACATAAAGAATATTTAAATCTTGTCAAGTCATTTTTATAAAAACATATTTATTATACAAGCTTCTATGTGTGCATCTAACTTTAACCAATTATTATGATACATCAGTGGAAAGTCATGCAAATAAATTGAAGTTTATTTGTAAAGTACTTCAGCCTCTTTGTAGAAACTCCCTCCATAAAACAATGAATGACGTGATTGGATTTTCCTGGAATAGATTACAAATTTCTATTTTTCAATTTAAAGCAATTAAATTGTCATTGTTGATTATTAAAATAATAATTTTAATATTACATAATTGTGACTTAAAATAAAATGATAACATAACAACAGCTACTTGGAGCTTATGGCTCCATATTACTTTAACAATCTACTACTTTCTGCGTTTTCGCCGCGTCTTTTTTGAGTTTGCTGAACAATTATCATCATCGTCGCTGTCTGTGTTATACTCCTGAGAGTCTTTAAGGCTTGACGCTGCTTGTGGCTGTGAATGGTGCTGGGCATCCCACTCCTTACGCAGTTCGCTCAGCATGCCAGGTGTTAGTAGTCCCTGAGCTAACAGTCTTTCCGTTAGGCGCCCACGGGATGAGCTCGGCAAGCGCGGCTCCTTTATTTGTGTAACACGCCGCATAGTATAGTTGGGTATTTCGCCATCCTGTCCTGCTTCTGTGTTTTTCAACAGCCGAGTTATTTGAAAGACTCCCTGTTGTATGATCTCGTCCAGCTCTTTTTGAGCTTCGCGCACGTTTGCGGCCTCGGGAAACAGATCCATAAATCGATAGCTATAAGGAAATGTAAATAATTAGACAAGATCTTACAAACGAACAAATCTCCTTACCTTAACCACAGATATAAGTCCATAACATCGAACACGGATTCCAGATGGACCAGATCCAGTATAGTCTTTGGCAGCTTAAAGGGCCAGCCACAGTTTCTTTTGATAAAATCAAATGTAATCGGTTCGTTGCGGCTATATTGCCGAGCTATCTTCAGAAACATTGAACACACAAAAGGCATCTTACGGTTGATGGGCGCACAACAGAATACATAGCGTGCACGCAGTGGCAGAGGAACATGCTGTATCATCTCGGCAAGAAATTTAAAATCCTCGATATTGCACATAAAGTATAAAGAATCATCTACAGTGCAGAGATTCACAAAAATATCCATTAGATTGCTTAGCGTTGAGTTTGGCAGGTGGTAAGCGTAAAGCTCTATCTGATCAGCGGTGGGATGAAGGCCTGCCTGTTTCAAAGGCTCCGGCGTTTGATTAAGTATACGTTGAAGGGTTTGCAGATCTTCAGACTTAAAGGCTGTTACATAGCCGTGCTCCCATTGAGTGCGATAGCGACCAGCACGTCCCGCTATTTGGAGAGCTGAAGACACAGAAATTGTGTCGATTTCACGTTCGCCACGCTCATTCATCGTGGGCTTGACCAACGAGTAGAATATAATGCGCCGAATGCTCCTGTAAGTGTATACTTTAATATAACAGTAAAAAGTGTAAGAAATCCAACAAACTTACAGATTTAAGCCCATGCCAATAGCATCAGTGGCCACCATTACTTTACAACTATTCTCTGGATCATTGAACTTAGCAGCCTGAGCTAGTTTTGTGCCCGGTGGCAAACCACCATAGATAACAGCGACTTCTTTGCCTCTATAAATTCAATTCATATATTACGCAAATGGATAAGTAAAAAATGTTCTGCACATTTACCGCGCTTCAATTTCTCTCGAAACCGTATAGATATCATGTTTGCTGAAGCAAACAATACAATCTCCAGGCATAACATTGTCCAGGGAACCTAGCGCTGAACTTTCCACAGTTAGTTCCGTGAGGCGATCATAGCGACGCACCTCGACCGTTTCACCTGTGGTTTCGCAAATTTTTTCTAGCAACTCCAGAGCGCCCGCCTCACCACAGACATGTACCTCATCAGCAATCAGTCCCAGAAATGCTCGTGTCCAAGCCCAGCCGCGCTGTGGGTCACGCATCTGTTGTATCTCATCGATAACCGCCACCTCATCTATTTATATATCAAATGTTAGCTAGGTTTAAGGCGTTAAAGGCTTTCACTTACAAGGTGTATTCACGGAGGTCATTTCAACGGTGCATGCCACATGGTTTGCTGGTGAGTTCTCGCTGATGCCAAACTTACGTTCTTCACCAGTGACAAGATCACAGGGTGTGCCACGCTCATTGGCCTTGTTATATACCTCCGTGGCGAGCAGTTTTAGTGGTCCGCAATAGACACCCGTCTTGGCACCCAAATATCTCTCCATGGCATGATATGTCTTGCCAGAGTTTGTGGGTCCAGCATGGAAAACGATCTTACGTGTAATGGCACGTGCATTGGTATACCAATTGGCCGGCTGACGCAAATCTGATATCTTTTTCAAATCGTCCATACAGTCTAGATGAGGAAAAACAGTCTTGGCATGACGCAAGAAGTAGGGAAAGATGTCGTCTATGTGGCCAGCACCTTGCATTATGTCGCTGAAAATAATATGCACGTCGACTGGCAGATTTTCTGCCTCAATGCAGAAGCGACGAAATGAGCCAAACGCCTGTTGCTGTAGGTAGGCTGGAGGGGAGGCATTAAACACAATGGAACAATTGGATACTATCGGAAACAACTTACAATCCAACCCATTTTCACTACACAGGGCTTTGATTTCACGACGTTGCGCGAATTTGTTCAGAATCTTCAACAGCTCAGACTTTTCAAGCTTGCCAACCAGCTCGGATCCCACATCCTCGTCATCGATATTGGCCTGCACCTGGACCGGCTTAAATAGTGCAGAAACATTCGTTTCATGTTTTTTATTACGCGAGAAGTGAATTGCAGCACGATGGACGCAACGTTCTTCGGTGGCAGAACCAAAGCCGATCCTCAAGCGCACTGCGCAGAGCAGACGCCTGCCAGTTGATATTGCATAGTGCCTCGGGTTTTGCATCGAGCGCGTACCGTCTGGATTTTAATTGAAGAAATTCAAATAATAAACTTCTCGAGCGACCGACCGCTCCACGTTGTGTAAAGAACAGCTGTGACATAATGTACGCTGTACGCTGTTCACAACTCGCGGCTTTTTTTGTTTTGTTTTGTTGTACAAAATACCACCGTTGAAAAATACCACAATACCACACACATGAATCTATCGACATCGGAATATCTTTGTTTATTTATGCCGCCATTCAGCATTCTTTTTACCACTTTTATTTAAATTTAAGCTACATACCCAGTTATCGGCAAATCGTTGATCGCGAAATATATTATCGACTTTGACAGAAAATTTTTATCACATTGGTAGGGTGATTTATACAAAAAAATATGGCGTTAACTTGACAAGCAGAAGTTTAAAATTAATCCTATATCACATTGAACAAATTACCATTGACTTTATTGTCAACCTGAATTGAATTGGGATTGCATTAGTTTCTCATAACATCGCAATACGTGTTAGTGATTGATTGTTCCGGTTAAAATTGTGTTATTTTTTAATTTTTGATTGTGCATTTTTGTTTCTCAACATTAAAAATCAATTGAAAAATATACTGAAATCCATAGCGGTTGTTTCGCGCGTGGTAAAAAAAAAGAGACCGTCGATACAAACCGATATCGATATAATACAATTTCATCGGGACAGAAACGTGGTTTGTTGGAAGCAGCCGGAGAAGGTAGACGTTGCTCTGTAACTTGTGTAAATTTGTGAAAGAAAAATAATTGTTAAAAAAAAGAAAAACTAAGAAAGAACAGTTTAAGTACACAATTTATAAACGAAAAACGATGGAAAATCAAAGCAACGAAGCTCCCGTTGCCGCTGCCGCCGCCGCGGAGGTATCATCGACAAGTAAGTTTTCGGGGTGAGGGAAAGAATTTTCTGTTGGCGAGCATATCATTCCCATCTACATATAAATATATAGATGTGTATGTATTTAAGTACTTATTTGCCGGGCTGAATATTTATTTCAATATTATGATTTTCCCCTCTGAGCATTAAAATTGGATCAAGGGCAAAGACGCAGCGCTCCTGCATTTTCGTACAGCCATTTTTGTTATAGCAATGACATAAAGTTGTCAAATTGCCGCCATATTTCTTTCATATTTTTTTTTTCCTGATTGATTCTAGCGGTAAATGAGAGTTGACACAATGTCTGCCATTTCGCTGCTAGAAACTGTAAAACGTAAAGAAAACGAGCAAAGAATCTAAAAGAAGTACAGCAAAAAGAACAACAAATTACAAATGTGTATGTATGTGTGTGCATATGTGGGTATGTACATGCATACATATATATGTATATATATGAGCACTTATTTTGTTGCTCGACAATTCATTTTTGTGTTTTCTCCTAATAATTACGTCATCGCTGCGCGCAATTTTATGCTCAAAATGCTACAAGTGCTGCAATTACTAAGTTGAACTCCCAAATAGTACGCAGTGAATCATTTTGGTTACCATTTTGGTTGCTCTTGGCCCATATGAATGTTTTTCTTTTATTTTTTTCATTCTGCGCTCTTGCGTTAATGTCAGTCGAACTAAAAGTGTATGTAAGTATGTATGTTCACAGACCCCTGGCTCCTCCTGCAAACATCAACAAAACTATACTTTTGCATATACATATGTACATACATATTAATTGAAAAATTCGCGCGTCTTGATGCGCTCATCGCTGAGAAATGCTATTTGAGTTTGTGTGTGTTTAGGACTGAGCGCGCGCTTGTGTGTATGTGTGAGCTGTCGCAGCGTTGCCAACTTATTGGTCATACGTCAATATCGATATTTTTAATGTTTTGCCTATTAGATGTTTGAACACGCACACACATGGTGTTTGCTCTGCTCTGAATTTTTAATTACTGTCTTAATTTTGATATGTGTAAGTATGTACGCTACATGCATATAGTAACTCGGTCAAGTGGCAACTCTTTTTTTTTTGTAGTTATTCGGTGGCGATTCCAAATGTTATTTAAAAACGTTTTTTAGTTAAATTGTTGCCTTTGACTATAATTCTGTTTGTGTGTGCTAGTTAGTCTACGTCAAATATCTTTGCTGGGCGTGAAAACCGGTTTATCAGTTATACATAGAAATATTTTGTCCGACATGAACCTGGCGTGATAACATGCATGCGTTAATCACGGGTCAGCGATAAGAAAACAACTGCTGACAAATCAAAATGATTTTGTTGCCGGTAATGCGAGATCTTGTACTCACTCTCTCCATGTAATAGTCACTCGCTTAGCCGCCGCTCATTTTTTCTCTCTCTTGTCGCCAAAATTTCTAATCTACCGCGGCAGCCGCATTTGTTTGTGTTTATTTTTAGATCCCCTCATACACCATCCATGAACAACGAAAGCAACATGCTTGGGCACACAATTAATGCATATATAAATTTAGAATTTTCGATTCAATAAAACCTGTGAGATTGACCACCTTTGCATATTATAAGTTTGGAATCATTTTTGACTGTTCCGCTAGTTTCGTATACACCGAACTCTTGTAACTCTATTTAATGTTCTTGACTCAATCTTTTTTAAAAAAAAAAATGTGGCTTCCGTCAGGTGAACGTTGTTTTGGAGCTGAAAAGTCTTAACGGAAAATTTTATTTATTGTTTTTTTTTTTTTGAACCAAAACAGAATGTGTGTTCTTTGGAATATATAAACGTTTAGTATGAATGCAAATATGCTTTCTTTTGAAGTTGACCACCTAAGTAAATACGAAATAAATATGGATTTTGCATAACATTCTAATTATTGTATTAAAAAACTACCAATATGAAAAGTTAATAACTGGGCGTGTCTTTAACAGCTCAGCCCGCAGAGCCGACAAAGCGCTCGCTGCGCGTTCAAACTTGGAAGAAAATCCAGGAGGGCAAAGTTGGAATCGGCTTCAATGGCATATTCAACCGTATTCCTGCGTTCGTTGATGCCGATAAGGCCGCTGCATTGCTCATTGAGGAGGAGGAGTTCAAGAAAGCACGTAGGTTACGTTCTGCTCATGTGAAATTTCGCTTAACAATATATATTTAATGTGCTTTCGTTTTATAGAGCACATCAAAGTGAACATTGATCGCGCCTTGCATGATTTTAAGGAACAGTCAATGCTGGCCAATAAATCCGTATATTTGCCCAGCACACGGGACTCGCCCGCGCTTTGCCTTAAAGTCGATGTGCCGGCCGATGCCACCGATGAGCAAAAAAAAGAAGCATTGCGCGTCCAGGATATACAGAAGTTCCGTTCGGAAATTGGTCTGGACAGCCAATTGAAGCTTGATTTGGTTGTCATTGGTTCGGTGGTGGTATCACGTGATGGCTATCGCATTGGACGTGGCAACGGTTTTGCTGATTTGGACATTGGCTTGCTCATTGAGCTGGGCGTCATAACGCCGGAAACGGCCATTGTAACAATTGTGCATGATGTGCAGGTCGTTGACACGCTTCCCGTTAACTTGTTCCAAAAATACGATACACCAGTGGACATTATTGTAACACCCACCGAGGTGATACGTGTGGCTAAGCGTTTGCCGCGTCCAAATGGTGTTTTCTGGGAACTGTTGTCCGAGCGTCGCTTGAAGATTTTGCCTGTGCTGCAGCAACTCAAGGAGCAGCTGGAGAAAGCGGGTAAGAAGATAACCCTGAAGGAGGAGGATACCGATGTTGAGCAGCATCAGAACAGTAGACGCCGTCGTGGACCGTTGCGTCGTCGCTTCCAACGAGGAAACCCAGGACGCACCACCTCACAGACTGACAACGAACAACAAGGCGTATGTTTGGAAAATATATTTAAAAAATTTATTATAAACAAATGGAAATTTCTCTTGTTTAGGATAATGCGCAGAAGCGCACACCACGCCGCAAGGGTCGTTTCATCAACCGTCGCAGACGCACAAACAAGGTAAGCAACAGCCCGTGAATTCAGTAAGCCCTGGCTAACTATTCTTGTTTGCAGTCTGAGGGCGATCAGTCTGGAGTCGAGGTTGGTGTTAAGAGTGAAGATCGTAAATTTGATGAGGGTGGTGCGGGTGAACGTCGCCCGAAGAAGAAGAATCGCCCGCATCGTGATTTCTGTGTTAAATTGACAAACCTGACACGCGACATTCGCGTCAAGGACCTGAAGTCCGAGCTGCGTAAGCGCGAATGTAATCCATTGTCGATTACATGGAAGGGTACGTAGCCAAGTGGCATAACCCCACGCTGAATGTATTTAATTATTGAAGTATTTGATTTACAGGTCATTTTGGAAAGTGTTTCTTGCACTTTGGTAATCGCAATGGCGCTCCGAGCACCCAAGATGATGTTGACAAGGTGCTCAAGTCGCTGAACGATCTCTCGCTGACCATTACCACCGGTGGTGGCGACTCAGCACCAGCTGCTGGAGCCGCAGAAGAGCCGCCAGTTGAGAATGTGAATGCACCAGTGCAAACGAAAACCATTAATGTCAACGTAGAGTTACTTAACTTTGGCGCCAAAAAGAATGCCGGTGGCAATACCAGCGCTGGCGAGGGTGGCAATACTAATGTGAATGGTGAGGACGGCAATGCCGCTGCCGGTGAAGGAGCCGCTTCACGTATTGAGTCTGTGGACACAACCACAGTATAGTATGACCATGTCGGTAGTTCTGCCACAAAACGGCCAAGGCGGATGTCCGCCGCCAGCGCCACGTGTGGAGTTCAACGAAAAAGAGTAACATTTTGTTTAGACACAACAGAAAACTAACACAAACAAAACAAACACAAACTGAATTGAGCTCCAGCAACACAAAGAACTCACACACAAACACACATACAATCAAACTAAAAAAAAAAAAATAGAAAAACTCATACCCACACAATTTTACATAATTTTCAGCTTGTAGTTTCTTCTTCTCATTCTCTCGTTCTAACATACAAACAAGCGACAGCTAAATTTCGTTTTTCCAACAGAAAACTCTGACGCTTTTTTTAAACAATTGCATTTGTTTTTGCTAAAAAGAAAAACAAAAAAAATTCGTTAAATGAAATGAAAAAACAAAAATAATATTTATGGAATACTCGTTCTACATTTGCAAGTGGATCATCATTTCAAGCTAGGTTATTAACCCTACTTCACTAACTTGTCCTTTCTCAACGACAAGACCGAAAAAATATGTTACATATTTTACGATTTTCTATACATTTTTCTCCCAACCTTTGATACATGGCCCCAACCAGCAGCTGAATGCGTGCGTCCCCGAAAACAGTTGAGCTGCTATCGCTGGGAGCACGCACAGTTTATGGCTTGGAGATTAGTGTAACAAATGTTGATTATTCGTGAATTCTAAATAACCACAAAAACAAAAAATATATATATACAAAATTTAAAAAAAAAAAAACAAAAAAAAACGTGGATTGAAGAAATTGAATTAACAAACTATTAACATGTTGCATTTTTGCTGAATGAAACCAACATAGAAACGAACAATAAAATATTATTATTGTAATTTTGGTTAGTGTTTGCCCCCCTCCCACACACACACACACACACACACATAAACAACCAATACCAATACCCATACAATTATTATATATATTTTAACAAACATGAAGATCAACAAATTTGTGAAAAACAAAAAATTTATACATACAAACCGTAATTATTTACTCTTTTTTATACAAAGAAAACGCATTAAAGCAAATAAAAACTTATGTGAAACATGAATGAAATATAACTTGAAATAAAAATGGAAAACAAAAAAATCGAATTGGCCAAGCTTATTATTGTAATTAACTCATTTTTTTCGTCACCTTTGCAATAAAGATTTAACGAATTTTAACTTTTAATGCCAATGCCAATATATATATATGAAGATTCTTAACGCTTGTCTAGAGGACATTACCATTTATTTTGATTTTCGGCTAACATCTAAAAAATAGGTACATCAATATCGAAATACATTACATCAAATGTACAGTTGGAGCCAGGCGATCGCAATACTTATAAAATACTATAATATGTACATACAAAGGTGCAAACCGGCGTTGGTGTTAGTTTCATGTGGATTACAAAGTACTATATAAGGTTTTCTTTGCTCGAAAAATATTTGTTTAAATCCTTGTAGAAGGTTTTTGGTAGCTCAGATGTATATGTATTAATTTTTGTATCTTTTGGATTGACAGCAGGCTTTTTCCTTTTGCTATTCAAGCTATACGTGAGTGTTGGCCAAGAAACCTTGCGGCATTAAGTAGGACTAGTTTGTGCATTGGAGATCAAATATCGAATTTGGGTCTTTATTCCCGTACAGTGCTCGTCGCTTTGCAACAGAATCTGCGCGGCGTTGGCGTCATCTGAGCCGCCTGTGGAGACGGTGTGCGGTCTATAAATTCAATACTATCACTATCCTTGGTTTGTGCGGGGGGAGAGCTTGTGCATCGTGCACAAACATTTAAAGCAGTAGCTGTGGGCGCAACTGTTGTGGTAAGGGACGATGTTGGCTTCTCCTTTATGGGCGCTAGGCTGTTCACTATTGAATTGGCCATGGCCAGCTCCAGTTCGCGCTGCCAGTCACTCTCCTTTTTCTCCATGGCCTTGCGCTTGAGCTCCTTGAAGCGATTGTACACTATGAACTCCTTGACGAGCGCGGTTTCGGGATCGCTGTCCCGTTGCGCAGAACGCTGTTTGGCCAGGCGCTTCTTCTTTTTGTGCAGTGGTCGCGTCTCGACAATCATTTCCTCCAGCTCTAAGCAGGGATCGCAATTAAGATGATCTTCGGGTGGCTTAAATGCGGGCTTTATACTCTTCTCAAGCACCTGCTGGAAATCCGTAGGCCGCAACAGCGGCGTCTGATGTAGCTCCTGTTGTGAGCTTATCCGCGCGCCAGGATGCACGCAGAGCAGCTAAAGGAGAGATGCAAATAATTAGATATAATAGATGCTAGTTTTTTTTTGCCACCCACCTTTTGCAAAAGATCTATAAATTCGTGGCTCCAGTAATGCGGATAGTGCACCGAGGTGTTCAGCACGTTCTTAATCTCCACCAGCGGCGTGTGCGAGTGCAGGACAAATGGCCGTGTGTTCGACCTCATCTCGTAGGCCACAACACCCAGGGACCACCAATCCACTGGATAGCTATATCCAGCTGCAAATTAGATTACCAAAGACAGGAAACATTTAATTAAGCATCTTCTTTTTTGTTGTTGTTGCTACAGCATCAGTTCTAGCTTTAATTTGATTTGTCGTCCCGGAATAGATGACATACCCTCGTCCGTCCTGTGCTCACAATTTCAACTTACCAACTTCTTCCAAGGCGCACATAAAGACCTCTGGCGCCATATATGGCTTCGTACCAGACATGCTGCAGGCGAGGGAGTCCTTTTGCAACCGCGTTGCAATATTAAAATCAGTCAAATGAGCGTGTCCTGCAATTAAGCGCACGTAATTGGTTTCCAATTACCCATATACCAATATCAACAGTGTGTGTGAGGGTGTATGTATGTGTGTGTCTGTTAAGTGTGGGTATGTGTGACATTTTAAGTTAATTGAATTGGATATTTGTAATAGTTTCTCCTTTTCCAGTAATATATTGTGTGTGTATTTCATAAATCCTTTTTAAGCCCATTACAAATTAATGAAATTTATATTTAACAGGCAGAAGTTCATATCCGAACCTCATTTAATATCTCAAGACACATTTTTTGCAGAGTACATGCCAGCATACAGTCGAGTTCTCCTGATCAGCTCAATTTGACTTGCTTTTAATGATTTGCGTTAAGAGGAACAATTAATTATATGCATGTATATTGAACGTAAACATTAGTTTTCTTCAATATTGTGAAAAGCATAAATTAGGCATAAATACATATACATATATGGATATACATATGTATATATACATACATACACCTATTACAAGTTGACAAAAAAATGTCATGTTCAAATGAATCAGTTCGAATGCGAGCGAACTATTTTAAGGATTTTGTTGCTTTACTTTAGTGATGGAAATAAGTTTAAATTACTATCATAGGGATGGTATAAAGTAAACAAATGCAAGAAGTCAACGCAATGTTGTCTCATGTGATACGTACACATGTATGTACCAAAACGAGGACTTTTTATTTAGGTAAATTTTTTCACTTTTTTGCAAATATGGATAATTTAAGGTATTTCAGGGTTATCGTCTATAGTCAAAACCTCCTACCATCGTTTACATCGGATACACAAACGTACGTAGTTAATAGTAAAGATAATTTTAACAAAAGTACCTTATTAAAAAAAGTAATATGTGCTGGTGTGTGGGCCAAAGAGCATTAAAAAGTAAAAAGCATTATATTTTGCATTTGCTAATTTTTAATATAAATACATTATTTAAGGTGTTAATCGTGCTTATAATGATGTAGGCTGCTTAAATGTACATATATCAATATCAATTTCCTGCACTTAACCAAGGGTTTCTTATAAATTAAATGTTAAAGCTTTCTCTATTATTAATTTGTTGTTAACCAATAGATAACAATAGCATAAAAATTGCAATAATGAAATTATTCTACAACTTGCACTGCCCAAATAACTTTAGCATAAACACAGATAAAACAAGATGCTTTAACACATACAAACGTAAACCTATATGTAAATACGATGTAGGTAAATAAATAATATATGTTAAGTAGTTAAGGAGCAGGTGACAGGCGGCGGACAGCGGGGCGGCAGGCGGCAGACGGCCGGATGCTTAGCCTGACAGGGCGGGGGCACATATGAATAATTTGAACCTGCTCTCAAGTATTCACTTGGGCATAAAACTTTTGCTTGCTTTTTGCACATGAAATCAATAAATTTTTGAACACGGACATCGGACAATTTAATGAATTATGGATGCTTTTGGGCAACTTGGCCGGAAAATTACTTGAAATTGGCTGCCAAACTTCTTGTTGACTGTGTACGTGTGCGTGTGTTTGTGTTTGTGTGTGTTTGTGTGCTTATTTGCTGAACTCACCTGCATCATCTAATAGAATATTATCAGGCTTAATGTCCCTATGGATCACACGCTGTGTTTGTAGGTACTCCAGGGCACTGCCCAGCTCGCACACTAATAAGGCCACACTCTGCTCGGAGAATTCCACCTGTCAAGAGAGTGTTAGAGAAATACGAAATACATATGTTGGCTAAGTGTCGCAAACTTTGCAGCAGCGGCAACAACAACCTACTCGGTTTTGTAAATGGTATCTTAAATCACCGCCCGTCAACAGGTCGCAGACCATGAATAAATCCTCCTCATCTATGATTGTTGGGCGTTGGGAGCACATACAGAAAAGAACAAGAACAAGAACAAGAACATGAACAAGATACGCGCTAGAAGTGAATGCTCAGACATCAAAAGAAATGCACATAGTTAATTTGCATTTTGATTGCCAATCAGCGGCGGTGGCACTCGCTCTACAGGTAGCTCAACCATTTGCATATGTAAGTCTGTGTGTGAATGCGGGTGTGTGTGTGTGTGTGTATGTGTGTGTGTGTATACACTTACCCTGAAAAGAGAACCATAAATTCACTAGAAATGGATGCTCCAATGAGGACAGCAGCTCCACCTCCTTGATCACACCGCCCAAAGCGCCGCGAGATTCACATACTGAGCGGCTAACATATTTCATGGCATAAAGGATGCCGCTATCCCGTTTCTGTACAATGCACACCTGCAGGGATGCACAGATTTAGAGCTGAACAGAAGGCTAATAGGAAGTCTCTTACCTTGCCAAAGCTGCCCTTGCCAATGGCGCGCAGGATTTGAAAATGATCGAAATTAACTGAAATACATAAAGATATTTAAAATATTATCTTATTGTCATTTATTAATGCATTTTGTCCTGGCAGCTGTTTATACCAGCCTAGATACTTTTTCTTTAGAAAGGAAAAGGTTTAAACCAATTTCCTTATGAATAAATATTTAAAGGAGGTATGCAAATAAATTTGAAGTAGATCGGATGATCAACCGGGAGGAATATTCCAAGACCCTGTCTTAGTGCATGTTGCACTTGTTCTCATAAGAAAACTTCAGTTAAAAATGGAGCTGTCAGTCAGTCAATCAGTCAGTCAGTCAATCTCTCATTCGGGTCAAAATCTAGATGTAGACGTTAGATAGACCCTACGATCGAATGAAGCTCAATGCAGATGGCCTTAAAATTGGAAGCTCCTACTTATTTGGTGGGCATACTTTTTATTTTGTTGTAGTCATCACCAGGTCAACTGGGTTTGCTGGGCAACACACGCCCCAGCGGCATTATCCTCATATTTCCTTAGGATCATAATCCGTCTGAGTTGTTGCTGTTTTTGATGACAGAGGAAAAAGGGAGGCAGCGCATCAATCTGGAGCATCTGTAGCTTGGGAAACCTATGCCTGACGAGCACCTCAAACTTCTCTTTATCCAAATAGTTGAGCCTGAGCACGCGCAGCTCTTTCCAGGCATTGAGCAGCAAAAACTCAAAGTGCTCCAAGCACACCGGCACCTGAAGCAAATTCAGCTCAATCCGGGTGAGGTGACGGCGCCAGAGGCTGCTCAGCAGCGAATAGCAGCGCTCATCGCACTGCAGCATGGCCAGCTGATCGGGCAGTCGGAGGTATGCCAATATCTGCTGCAGGCACAGCTCGTCCAGATGCTCCATGGCCGACTCCCAACTTCAAAACTCTGTTGCGCTGCGAGCGACTGTGTTGCAAATACTTTTTTATTTCTTTGAATTTCTAGCCCAGAGCTACTCAGTTGGCTGGATTTTTTGATTAAGAATTGATTTGTCAAATGGTTTTTAAATTATTAAGTTAGTATAATATATTATGTATATAAACTCAGAATACCGGACTTAAGCCGGTGCTCGTTATCCTAATGGATATTTCGTGTGCCAAACTCACCATCATCATCCTGGTGCAGACTTGTGTCGGATCTGGTCGACGAGCTGGCGCCCATTTTGTAGCTACATTAATGTGCCGCCCTCCTGACGGTTTTACTATCTATTTGATGTTGTTTATGTCTTCGTCTCCGTCTCCGTCTGCTGCTCCTGCTCCTGCTCCTGCTCTGTCTCCCTTTAGACTTGTTTGTGGCAATTTGATTGAATTCAATTGATTCGCTGTCATGTCCTGCCCCGGACTGGATGTGCCACACGAGCTTAACTATGCCAGCTCTTTGTTGATGTTATTGAGAATGTTATTATTATGGCAGCTCATTGCGGTGCACCTAAAAGACCACAAAAGATGGCAAGAGATCGATGTAAATAAAGCCACATTTTTTTTTTTTTTTTAAATAATAATCTGTAAACATTTCGATAATAAAGGCGCTTTGCATTTTTAATTAAGGTCTTGTTTCTTATTAATGGATCTGTTATTTACTTTAATGCATATTTACATATTTGTTCTATATGCAGAAATTAGTTTGTAGTTTTTTGGCATGTTTAAACAACAAATATACAGTTGCATTTACCTACGCAAATAAATTTCTTTTCATACTATTTTTGCATACAATTTAACTAAAAAATAATGTTAAGTAAGTTTAAATTGTATTTGAAAAATGACAACCTAGTTGTTTGTAGACACTATTGTTAGTAAACCAATTTATAAATGTTAGATAAACTTGTCGGAGTTTAAAGTTTAGTAAGAGTTGACAACCTCAAAAGGTAGGAAGGAAGCGTAAAATAGTAAATTTAAAACCCAAACTTTAATCGGCTAGTAAATATCGCCTAACACTTTTAGAGATATGTGAGAGTGAAGCTTGTGAATGCTTAGATTGACGAAAATATCTTGGAAAATTGAATACTTTGCCATCAAAAATGCATTTTTCGAACGACTCTTCCTAAATAGCCAATATAAAAATATAATATAGTAATAGTAGTCAGATCCTGATAAGATTTATTTCATAAGCAACATAGTTTAACTAGTACTAGTACAAGGTTTCGCCAAGATATCTTGATAAAAAACAAGCTTTCCATATAAGAATTTCATTTTCGTTCCATTGTTCCGATTGCAGCTGTAGCAGGATAAACACACATAGAAACATAGATATACATTCATACATACATACATCAGTCAATCCCATATAACATTGTCATTCACACACTTTAACATAAGCATTAACATTATCACGCTATATAACATTATTGTGTACGAGAGAGTTCAGTTCTGTATCGCACGACGAACAATTAAGAAGTAGAAGGAGCTACGCTGTGTCTGATTTGCTATTCGATAGAATAACAGTAAAGCCTTCCACACAGCTATATGATATAGTGGTCCAATTTTGTTAATATTTTGCATATATGTATATGAAGAGGACAGTGAGACTAATAAATGCCGAGTTTAGTCAACATATCTTCTTAAAAAACCAAAGTCTTTTATACAAAAACATACTTTTCGACCGATCGTTCCTTTGGCAGCAGTATGATATAGTGGTCCCATCCTGCCGGTTCCGACATATGCACTACCTGCAGTAGAAATACGGACCTATGCAAAGTTTTAAGACGATATCTTTATAACTGAGAGACTAGTTCAGATAGAAACATACATACGTACAGAGGGAAAGACGGACATGGCTATATTAACTCGGCTGTTGATGCTGATCAAGAATATTTATAATTAATGGGGTCGAGGATGTCTCCCTCTATGCATTACGCAATTCATGTCAAAATTATAATACCCTCTACAAGAGAATACAAATTATTAAAAAGCTCTTGTTAGACAAAATTGTATGATTTTGATCTCGAAAATAATACGAAAGCAAAACGAAACATATGTGTGCGTGCTTTGAAGCTGTCGTGTCGTGTTGTGCGGTGATGGGAAAATTCTGATAAGCGTCCATCTCTAATTCCGAAAAGTTAACGATTTCGAAAATTTCGAATGGGGCCTGCTTGGCCATGTGCTTATGTATTTCGAAAAAGGGCAGCACAAAGTAACCGCAGCAAACGTTTCGTCTTAACGCAAAACATTCGAACATTCGGCAACTGAGTCAGTTGTCATGCAGACTCATCAGTAAAACATTTTTATTTATACAATATACAACACAACAAATTAAAATAAACGATTGCGTCTGCTTTGGAATCCGTCTGCATTCGATACGCATCCTGTGGCCATGTGTTGTAAGGCCATCGATATAACTGCCAAGACCGGCAGCGGCTCTGCTGTCATTTCCGTGCGCCAGAACGAGCTGATCAGCAATTTGCGTGTCCTTGTTGCGGTGCGATTTGAGCAGGCCATAGACATTGTTGTTCTGGTATTTGGCGGACAGGTGCTGCGCGACGAGGGCACCGTCGATAGCCATGGCATCATCTCGGGCGTCACTGTGCATGTCGTCTTCCGTCAGTTGTCGAAGGGTGCGTCCCCTGTGAACGATTGCAGCAATGCCGCTGGCAGCAACAGCAGCAGCAACGGCAGCGGCAGCTCTGGCCCGTCGGCTCCATCGAACGCCCGCACTTGGATCCTGAAGAGCGGAGACATCTTCAAGCCGCTGCTCGAGGATCCGGGCACATTGCGCGACATGTTGCAGTCGGACACACGCATCAAGACCATGATAGATGAGAACGCATCGTTTCGTCACTTTCTCAGCAGTGATCGTAATTTGCGTGAGCTATTCTCGACGGTCTTCAATCCAGCCAAGGTTCAGGAGCTGGGACGCAAACGTGATATGCACATAATGCGCATGGAGTGGGTGCCTGGCGGCTACAGCCTGCTCGGCAAGCTCAACTATTTCATGCGTCAGGCCCATGAGGATAATGTGGCCATGAACTATCAGGAGGCGGTGACATGCCACTGCAAGCGTGGCGTTGATAATCCACAGCGCGGACGTGAAAATAAGATGCCGCTGCCGAATCCCTGGCGCCAAACCAAACCGGAAACGGTTGATGGATTTGCGCTTAACGCGGAGCGCATGGTTGCCGATCTGACGCAGAAATGCGATCACATGATGCAGTCCCTGCAGTTGGGTGACTTTAACAAAACCCTCGAACATGCGCGACAACTGAACGAGCTGGCGGACAATGCGCGCCGTCAGCTGGATATACGCGTCCGAAAGCGTCTGGCACCAGCCGTCGAACAAGCTGCACCGCCGGCACCAACAGTTGCCGCCGCACCGCCAGCCGTGTCCTCGCTAAATCTCTTTGACTTTATGTCCAGCAACGATAGCCGCTGGGAGCAGCGCTTCCGCTCCCAGCTGCTGCAGCTGACCACATTGGGCCACACGGATCGCCAGCGCAACATATGCGCCCTGCTGATGTCCGCTGGCGACATACAGACGGCCGTCAAGCTATTGGAGCAGTGGAATCGCTAATACATAGTAATCCCAAAATTGGAATCAATCTACACAATGTTTCAATAGTTTTTTTTTCCCCCCATTTCCATTCATATTCCTTTTTTTTTGTCGCTCAGACGCTCCGGTTTGGTGCATTGGCTCTGTATCCGTCAATCAATAGCAATTGCAATAGCATTCAAAATGATAAATCTATATTTATCAATTTCTCTTTTTTTTCTTTATTTTTTTTGTACCCGCAACCCACTTTAAATGGGTCCAAATAAAGTTGTGCAAATGTGTGTCTGAAAGAAAACTTGTGGGAAGCCCTTTTCCCAGTTCCCTCTCAGACAATGGGCGAACGGCGAAGCGTTCCATAGAAACCATAGAAATATATATATCTATATATACTTTGGGATGCACAAATTTACTTTGACAAATCCTTGTCAACCTAGAACTTCTGTTAGAGTATACGCGATTCGTTTGTTTTCCAGTTTTTCGCACAAATCCTTGCGCGTCCATTTGCTGTCGCAATTTCATTTATGATTGATTGAAACAATTCTGTCTCGCTGGGCAATGCTTTAGTCATCCTTTTTAGTCATCCATCAATGCGCCTCTGCCGCAAATGTCCTGACAGTTTCCATCAGCAACGCGTGCCGCAAGTTGCCGCATTCGATTTCCTTATTATTTTCTTCATTCGTTTTTTTTCTATGGCCGCAAACATATCAATTGTTGTGGCAATACCTTGACAAACTGTCGTACACATATGCGCAATAGGGTATCTGTATTATGAGTATACCATATTTTTGTATTTGAATATCTTTGAATTAATTTTTGACGTTTGTTGCAAACTTTGCCTTTGAGTTGCAGCGGTTTATTGATTAATCCGTATTCCAATTAGCACCTGCTGCTAATTGTTTACGCCGTGCTGAGTTTTCAAATTTAAGCAAATTAATTTGCTAGCCGTTTGCTTATTTCAACTATGCGACAACTTTAATTTTCTGCAAATTGCTGGGAAAAACTTTTGCGAATGCAAGTAATATTATCCTGTCATGGATAATCCCGGACTTTGTGCTGCCAACTGAGCAGTTGAAGGTAGTTCAAGTTGAAGGGTCAGCTTAAAATGAAATGAGCAGAAATGCAGTATTTCAAAAAGCAGTAAAACACGGCCTTTAATATATGCTTCTCATCTGTTTCAGCTTATGACTTCAGGCATTTCCACAACTGCGACCGACCTTTTATAACTACCTTTTCGTTTAACTAAACCAAACTTAAGATTTAGCAATTTATGCTGTAATGCTATTTAAATACACAAGCGGGGAGCAACAAAAACAACAAGAACAAGAAAAAACGCACACTACAGGGAGGCAGCTCGGTGGAGGCATCTCGGGGGAGGCGACTTAGGTGACAAAATGGCGCGGAAGGAACGTGTCCGGCGGACATTGCGACGACGGCGGCAGCTGCGGAGTTTTTACACTTACAAGCCCACACGCACACACACACACACACATACACCAACAGTACACATTTCGCTGGTATATATACACTGTTTCCAAAGGACAAAGAAGCATATTGGTTTTACAAATTGCTAAGGTATCTCTGCACCCTTAAGTTGAATAAATTTACATCTTAGGCCATAATTCAACAAATTTATTTTGTTACTAAAAAGTTCTTTGAAAAATCAAGAATTATTTTGTTGCTACCTATATTAAGAAAGTTTTCAACAACGTAAAAAAAAATGTTGATGTGAATTCTAGGATTATTTCTCATAATTTTTTCGCTAAGTATATTAAGAAATAGCTTTCAAAAAAATTACAAATTTATAGTATTGTTTTGTAAGATTGAAAACTTTTTCTGCTACCTATATTTAGAAAGTTGTCAATAGCTTTGCAAAAATTTCAGACATGAAATTCTAGGACTATATATCATTATTTTTTGGCAAGTATATAAAAAAATTGTTTTCTAAAGAGTTTAAAATAATTTTAGAGTTGATATTCTAGGAATATTTCTAGGATATGCTTGCTTTCAGTATTTTTTACCTTTAAAAACTTTTTTGTGTACCTCCATTTAAAAATTTGTTAAGGGCTAAAATATTTTATAAATAAAATTTTAGAAATATTCTTGTTTGCAATATTATTTTTTACCTCAGATCTTTTTTGCTACCTATATTTAGAAAGTTATTAAAAGTTGATAATTCAGAAATGAATTAATATTTTTATATTCAATATTTGTACCTATAAAAACATCTTTTGCTACTTATATTAAGAAAGATTTAAAAATAAAGAAAAGTTTCGAAGTGAAATTTACCTTTTTGCTACCTTTGTTTTGAAAGTTATGAAAAGTTAACATCTTAGTTTCTCATAATGGATGCCTATTTTCAGCATTATTGTTGTTATACTTATAAAACTGTTTTGCTACCTATTTAAAGTAAAAAATTGTAGGACTGCAAATCTAGGAATATTTCTGGGACTATGCTTGTTTTCAGTATTATTTTTTACAGCAGACAACTCTTAACTATATTTAAAAAACTAGAAATACTTCTAAAATTTATAAAAAATTTTTTTTAGAATTTATTTTATACATGTAAACTTTTTTGCTAACTTTATTTGGAAAGTTTTCAACTGTTTAACAAATTTTAGAAGTAAAGTTTTAGGATTATTTCTCATAAATTTTAGACTATCTTCAGTGTTTTTTTTACCTTAGAACATTTTTCGCTACCTATATTTATTAAAAGTTTTTTTTTGGACCTAACTTTAGAACATTTTTCATAGTTTGAAAATGTTTCATATCTAGAATTGTAGGTCTATTTCTCATAATGGCTTTTCTCATTATTTTTACATATGTAAACTTCTCAAGCAATCAAAAACAAACGTAATTTTTGCTTATTCCGTGTTTGCATCGCTCTTAACTGCCAAAAACATAACTATATAATTATTAGTTATTAGAAATAGGAATATTTCAAAAAATCAAGTATTTTCCCTGCCTTTCATTTGAAGTTTATTTCTAAGCAAAACCTTTTCCTTACTTCAATATAGAACTTTAAAAACGTCTAGATATCTAGTAATTAATAAATTTAATGAATATAATATTATGATATTTAAAAAGTTTTTTTTTTGCTTTGAGCACCATTAATTTGCGAGCGAGCAGTGTAACGTGAATGGGAAAATACCCGCCTGATTTCTCTGACTTGGTTTTTTTCATCTGTCTTACCGCTCATTTTTTGCATTTTAATATTTTATGAAAATGACAAAGCAGCAACAACAATGGACACTACAACAGTAGGACTGAGAGTAGCATTTGCTTAATGTGATTGCTTGATAAAGCATGGGGAGGAGGAGTCTTAGCCTGGGGAGGAGGCAGCAGCCGGTATTGAGAGCCGCAGCGGGGCCAGGGGCCAGGGGCCAAGTGTCACCTTGAGATGTTAACTGACGTGGCTCTGGTTGAGTCTGGATACATTTGATTTGCTGCATCCGCCGGGTTCAGTTGCTGACAGCCATTATTTAGTTTGCCAACATCTTTTATTGAGTCAGTGCATCTGCAGTTGGCCCCCCACCAAGATTGTGGCATCTGCATCTGAGCAGCGAACGTTTGTTGCCCGGACAGAAACCTCCGGAGTGCGGCTTTGGTAACCGGACAGTGTAAAAAGTTGTGTGCTCCTTTGCGGAAACGTTAAAGTGTCATAAGCAAAGTTTTGCCAAGTCCTTAGAGCTGGTTTCAATTTCAAAGAAACATTAATGTCATGTTTTATTTGCAGACAGCAGAAAAACAGCTGTTTGGGATGCACAAAGATATTTCTATCAAGAAGAACCAAGGTTGCGTACTTGTTTTAAGCCAAATCGATTTGATAATTAAACTGAAAAAAGGAAAATATTTTGTACACATCAAAAATGGGTAAAAAGGGTATAATGTATTTGTGCAAATGTCGGTAACAGGCAGAAGGAAACATCTCCAACCCCATAAAGCATATATATTCTTGATCAGCATCAATAGACGAGCCGTCCGTCTGTCCGTGTGTATAAACACAAGGATCTCGGAACCTATAAGAGCTAGAGACTAGAAATTTGGAACATAGGTCCGCCTAGTGCCCAAGCAGTACGAGTTTGTTTGTTGCCTAGTTTCCAAGCAATCGATAAAAATCGATATCGAAATACTGTTTTTTAGAATCATAAAATTTAACATTTAGCTTCTTGAATAGTATATATATGTGTCAAGTATCTTAACTTTTATAGCTATCAACGCCACAAGTATTTATAGCTTTTCTTTTCACATCGTAGGTGAGTTGTTGTTATGATTGGTGGAAGAGGGTTCAGGGTATCCCCTAGTCGAGAACTCCCGACTATAGCCTCTTACTTGTCTTTTTTCTTCGATTTATGTAGTTGAGCTTATGATTTTCCAGTAAAAACTTTTTCGATTTTCTATGCAGCAAACGGTCTTAAGGAAAAACTGAAAAAAAAACACGTTTTCTATTTACTTTAAGATTTATGTGTGTGTATTTATTTAAGTATATACTCATGATGCGGACTTCAACTGAAGTTGACTACACGGAAATCCTTTTGCGCGTGTTCTTCACCTTTTTTTTTATGTTCAGGGAAGTGAGAAGCCGTAAGTAATCCCCCCCAAGACTCATAAAACAAAATTTTAGCATGTGCTTGCAGCCGATTTCTAAACTCATTATATGGAGATGAAATACGTGGAAGAGCAGGGTTAAAGGATTTTGCCTGAAATCTTTTGTTTCGTTTTGCTTTCCGATTCGTTGCCAGTATTTCTGGCAGGATGGCGCCTCAGGTGCTTGAGCAAAGCACTTCATTTAGTTTACCCCTACCCTCCCCCCAAACTCTTACCTGGCCTTAACCCGCTCTAAGTCCAGTGTATTTACATATATATTTTTTTCTCTCTTTCACGGCGAGCCAACGTTCAGCTCGTGTGTAAGTATATTTTGGGCATGCCTGGGCTTTAAATTGCAGGATTTAAGCCAAGTTTCGCTAGATTTACTCAAAGCAAGACACACACAGAATCCAGTCAATGCCATGTTTTACGCCACAGTGCTTGACAAAAATCAATGGTCCCCCCTCTCACTGAATTTCCTTACTTAGCCGCTTTTGTTTTCGTTTCTGTTTGCCTTTCCCTGCTGCGGCTGGCCTATTGATTTTACATAATTAACAATTGTGTGATTTGGGTACGCCAAAATAGCTCAATAATGGACGTCGATGAGCGGTGGTGTCTACGCGTAATTATACCCCCAACTCAACTCAAAAAGGGTATTAAAAAGTCGTGAAAATTTATGTAAGAACGATAAGCAGACATCTTTGACCTTAAAAAGCAGCAGCTCAGAGGTATTCAATTTCAAACGTTCCTTTTTTTTTAACCCAAAATGGATGAGGAAAAAGACCCTAAGAAAAAGATATCTGAAATTGCATTTAATAAATGGTTAATACTTGAAAGCCACATCAATATGAAAGACAAATACGGTACCAAAGCAAAGATAAGATCAAAGTTATTAATTGAATCAGTTTTTTACATATTGTAAGGCAAAGTGTATTTAAGAGAGCTTTGGGAACTATTCAAATCCAAATTTTTAACCGTTTTTGAAGTTTTCAAAACTCTATATGTTCTTTTTTATACGAGTTTTGGCATTCACATTTTTTGATACCCTTGTAGAGGGTATTATAGTTTTGTCATGAAATGTGTAATGCATGAAGGTGTCTCCTCCTCCGACCCCATGCCCGTGGGTCTGTCCGTCTGTTTCTATGCGAACTAAGTAGTTTCTAAATTTTAAAGCCATCGTCTTGAAACTTTACATAGGTCCGTCTTTCTGTTGCAGGCAGTACATATTATGTTTCTCTTTTCACAATCGCACAAGCATATTTTGGAGCTAAAGTTTTTATTGGTATATTCTAATCACACAAATCCATTAGTTTGTAGCTATTGACGTTCAAGAATGAATTTCTTTGATGAAATGATGATGAAGCATTATGTATGTTGGTGGTAATATTTGTTACCTGCCACATTATTGTTGTCGTCATTATGAGTAAGTGGTACTTAATTATGATAAGTATGACAGGGATGCCTAGATGGATTATGATGATTATTTCGTGTGGCGAACGCCGACTGAACATGGTGTCATAGCCATGAGAGACACTCCAGGAACGCAGACGACAACATATGTCGAAACCGGCCGGATCGGACCATGATATAATATAGCTGATATGGAAACCTTTTTTATATTAAGTTCCATTATGATCCTCATATATGTGTAAAATCTTAACAATATCGGACCACTTTATCACATACATAGCTGCTATAGGAAAGATCTATTTAATAATAGGATTTAATAAGGCAAAATATTCTGTTATCAAAGATATTTCAATAAACTCACATATCTGCAAAAGGGAAATGTCTACAAGGGTAAAATTGGTGTCTAAATAGTGAATAATTCATAAAGTTACTTTTGTCGTTTAATATAAAATATTTTCAGTGTGGATTAGCTAGAGATTAACTATCAAATTCTTTTTGTTAGCAGACGTATGTGTAATCGAAGACGCGAGGCTTCATTAATCAAAGATTACGTAGGCAGAATATATGATTATTCATCCCATAAAAAAACCAAACAAAAGGGGGACTCGTCCATTTGGCTGCTGCTATCAAAACAAACGAAGGGACATCAATCAAAATGACGGCACAATTTCTAAGTTTTGTTGATCCTTTGCATTGCCCACACTCGCCAACCCGCTGGCATTCCGGTTGCCTGCTCGAATTGGAAAGGACTCCTTAATTAATGGCGGCTTTACATTTCCTTTTTTATTTTTGCCATATTTACATTAGGTCATGGAGCAAAAATCTGTTGCTCTTGTCGGAAAAACTAATTAAACAGCTGTTGGCGCCAGCAGCCGCCCGTTCGAGTTGTGGCCAACGAGCCGTGCCTGAACCCTTTATGACGGCATATCGGGCTAAATAGGGCCCTCGGACAAGGACAAGGGCAGGGGTGCCCCCCACCCCTCTATCTCCCTGCTAACAGAAAAAAGCTATTGAAAATTTGCATTTCGCCTGACGACTCGCTGACATTTCCATATCCATTTGTATGGCCCTAATGAATATGTTGGACATCAATTTAAAAGGCAACACAGAATTTCATTTTATCAACATGCTTTTATACCCTTTCTCAGCGTATTATAGTCTTGTCATGAAATGTGTAACGCATTGAAGGACATCTCCGCCAAATAAATTATATATATTCTAGATCAGCATCAACTGCCGAGATGATATAGCCATGTCCGTCCGTCTGTCGGTCTTTCTGTTTCTGTGCGAACTAGTCTCTCACTTTTAACGCTATCGTCTTGAAACTTTGTAGTACATATGTCAGAACCGGCCGGATCGGACCACTATATCATACAACTACCATAGGAAAGATCGGTCGAAAATTAAGTACTTGCATGGGAAACGTTTTTGCTTATAGCGATATCTTAAAAGTTGGTTCTGATATGGAGACCTGTTTTTATATTAAAATAGCTTGACCAAACTTGGCTTTTATTAGTTTCATTATGATTCTTATTTATTTGCTAGATCTTATCATGTATCATCTATAGGAAAGATCGGTGGAATAGCAGGATCTTAAGTGGCAAAATATTCTGTATTCAAAGATATTTCAATAAACTCACATATATTTTCCAAAGGGAAATGTCTACAAGGGTACTGAATCTTCGGCGCGCCGTAATAACCTTACTTTTTTGTTTTATTTTTTTCGATTTCATATTTATGTGCTGCGTAAAATAAAATAAATAAATGTGCTTTATTGCCATATGGGCTAAAATAATAAAATGGTTGCTGATATCAGGCAATATAGTTTACTGCCAACTGGATAAGATAGTGTGTGTATATCTGGATTATCTGGCGATACGTGCTCTCGTTCTGGCATTAGAACCAATACCTGCACTTATTTATAACCGATTGATGTACGCTGATATTGCCCGTTAAGCCCGATATCTCAAGACTGAATATTCACAGCTTTATGTAGAAGTTCGTTATTGTTCCATATTAAATGGGACCACAAAAAATCTGTATAATAAGCTCGTAAACGGCGACGTTTTATGACAGTTTCTGTTTATGGTTCAGGTTTAAATAAGCGGTATTCACATTATGCCTGACGTTCCCATACCCTGTACCCATTAAATATTGTATGCTCGCTCGGGTATTATAACTGCCAAAATTCCCTACGAATAAATTAAATAATTTTTAATAGCTTTTCGATTAAGATGTTTTGGCAATTTGATTTTTTGGCAGACGCAGCGAGCACTTCTCGCTCGAGCCGTGTACGGGATAACTGCTAATCGCATATTCCCGACTGAAGCATTTTTACTTGTTAACGGTTCTGTTGACATGTGCGATTTGTTGTTTAAAATTTTGATGGCATATGCATGCTGCTTTACGATGTCTTGACCACACGATGTGCGTGGATTCCGGATTCCGCACAGCTGCATCAATCAATGAAAAACAAAACAAAAAACAATAAACAATAATTTTTTTATTTGGTTGCTTATACGTGCATGAGTTTTTTGTTCAGCACTGAAACTTTGATGCGGCTTTTCATATGAAAAAAAGATGTACCATAAGTAATCCAATTTTTTGCCACTTGTGTGAATTGTTGCAGTTGTTGTTGTTGTTGTCGTTGAAAGACAGTTCTGATTGCGCCATTTGATACAAAATATTGATTGGATTTTACGGAAACCCCATAGTTTTGCAAATTCAATAACTTATTTAAAAAGTATATTTTTAATACAAATAATTGAAAAGCTGTTAGTATATAAATTTTCTGTGTACAGAAAATTGCACAAAGTTTATGTTTGGCAATTTAACAGAAACTAAGGATATCTTGCTACGCCGAGGATTTAATACCCTTGTAATGTTGAGTTTGTTGAAATATCTTTGAAACAGAATATTTTGCTTATAAGAGCCTACTATTCCACAGATCTTTCCTATAGCAGCTATATGATATGATGGTCCGATGTTGATAAGATCTCGCATATGCGAGATGAGAATCATAATGAAACTAATAAAGCCCGACTTTGGTCAAGATATCTTAATTTAGAAAAAAATGTTTCACATCAGAATCAACTCTTCAGATATCTTGATAAATAAAAAAGTTGTCCATACAAATACTTAATTTTCGACCGATCGTTCCTATGGCAGCTATATGATATAGAGGTCCGAGCCAACGTATGTACTGCCTGCAACAGAAAGACGGACCTTCAACCGGATAGCTTTACAACTGAGAGACTTGTTCGCATAGAAACAGTCAGACGGAGCGACAGTCGTACGGACATGGCTAAATCAACTCGACTTTTGATGCTTATCTAGAAAATATATATTTTTTAACGGATCGATGATGTCATCATTTAGGCATTACACATTTCATTACACAATTATAAGACTCTTCACAAGGGTATTAAAATGCATCTCAAATATTAAAAAGCTTTGTTTGAAATGCAGTTTTTTATTTAAGTAATGTACTAGTTCATTCTCTGCAGTTTAACCTAAGGTCGATTGCTGTTTAATTCTATTAATGTTCGTATTTCAGCACCCAGCTACCAACTTTTTTCTCTGTACGGCAAAAATAAATCCGCAACGATGACAAATTTTGATGACGTCATCCTCAGTCTCCTAAGAGCGCGAATTGAATGCTTATATCCATATTAACAATCAAATATAGATATATATAGGAATCCCCAAGAGTCGCCGCTTGCTGTGCTTTTCTTTCTCGGAGTGTGTGTGTGTGGGTTTTAAAATAAGTTGTATAAACGGAAAAGTCCTTTAAAGCTTACGGTCTTAAAATCCGTTGCGCCACTTTGAAGCCAAGCACGTTTTTAAATGGGCATAGATAAATCAAAATGCTATTGCTGGCCAAACCTATCCGGCTGAAGATGCTCCATTAATCGCATGTCAAAGGTACAAACGGCAATCCACAACATGGATTAGAATACTTAGCAACCCCAACGGGCGCGCAAAGCAACCACCAGGCGCTGCCGCTCTAAAAATCAAGAGACAGCCAAAAACAGGGGACCAGGGTTCAATGACATGAAAAAAGAAAACGTAACACAAACACACACACAGAGACATAATCGCAGTCACACACCCGCTTCTACATGTATGCGTACACTTATTTGCGGAAAGAAAACAAAATTGACTTAAGTCGGGACCACATTTTAAAATATTTTTGATATGGCAGCTCCGCCATTTGAGATTCTTATGCTTATGACTTGAGTAAACGCTTAAGCTTCGTGGCTTGGGGCCCTTGGCTGTGGTTAGGGCTCGCCTTCAGAATTTATCGATTGGCATTACCGGGTAGCTGAAGCCACTCATATATGCATATTAACCGAGTATCCAAATTGCACAAGTTAAGTTATTCAAATTGCACTCGTTACATCTTAGCTATTTCTGTGTAAGTATATGGTATGCAGATTTACATACACTAACAGAAAAATCATATCAAGTACAATGTTTCTTAATTTGAAAACCAAATTTGGACTTGAATCTTAGAAAAGTTCGATACATATTACCTGATCCTTCTTCTTATTGTTTTTGTTACAATTATGGTACACTTTAAAATTATGGACTAGTCAATCTAAGAAAGGGTTTAATTTTATATGAAGTACTATATGCTTATATATGTATATATAAGTATGACAATTCTTGTAATTTGAATTTTAAGCCTAATCTAAGCGAAGGTTTTTGTGTTTTTGTAAAAATAATGTTTAATATCGAAATCAAGGATTACTAAATATTCTAAATTTAGAACTGTCATTAAAAACGCTTTGCGCTTACTTCTGATAAATAACTTCTCGTAAGAATCATTTTATACTAATTTCAAGTGTTAATTATAACGCATTTTTAACAATAAATATCAATTCTAATATAAAATCCATTTAAGAATTAAATATATACACATAAAATTATGTGAACAAAACGATATGAATTCCAATTAAGAGCCTCATTTTTCTCTAAGTGTACCTTTGTACTCGTGAACATTGTTGCGAATTTGCTGTTGTTGCATGTCAGGCGGTCTCAAAGCGGCCACAACAATTCGTAAACATAGTCCTGTTATTTCACTTTGAACTCCCGCTTAGGTGTGACTGTGCTCTGCCAGCTAAAGTCACGCGATTGTTAAGAAAAGTACACGCACTTACGCGCGCACACACACACACGCACTGTCAGAAGTACCGTTATTGTGAAACTTGCTTAAGCTAATGCGCCGCAGTACCGTTTGTGGGAGCTGCCAAAATTCAACTAACGCACAGCTAACAACTGTTGTTTGCCACGCTGACTGTTTATTATTTATTATGCTGCCAGCGTTGCCAGACTGTGCGCACAACACGTTAGCTTAGCACGCAGACTCTTAGCTTTTAAGAGAGTCAAAGAGAATCGTTTGTGTGGTTTCTTCTTTTTTTTGGACTGCGCGCTTTATGAATGAGCGCCAATTAGCCAAGTTGGCTAGCCAGGCTTTATTATCATTATTATTATTATTATTCGTATGCCTGTGCTTAAGGCGGCCATAGAAATTGGGTTAGCTGCTTTGCTGTGCTTTAAACGCAAATTGATTGCTAATATATTTAACGACATTTTTGTCTACATTAGTTAAGTAAATGTCTTATCTCACATATTGTGTGGGCTGAGGGGTGGCAGGTGCGTCAAATCCAATGATGCTTCGAGTAGATTTTCTCGTTACTTATGCATATATGTGTGTTAAGCTCTTGTAAGCTCTATTTGCTTTGGAAACTTTGTTCTGCGTAAGCGATATGTTGGACTTGGTGCGTCGTGCCACCTGGGCTCAGGTGTGCCAGCCATCTTTTCTTTTGGCCAATGTATTCGTTTTAATTCATAATTTTTTTATTAGCATACTTCTGTGCGCAGCACGCATTGTTTACACAATTTCATTGTTGATTATCTTGATATTGCCTCGCAGACCAAAATTAAAATAAAAATAAAACACCAAATAAATGCAGACAAACCCGCTTTAAGTTGAATTTAATTTCCGTCAAGTCGGAAACTGTGTGCCCGATGCGCGGCAAGCCCAATAATCCAATGCGGTTAAAGTGTGTTACAGCCTCTTCGGGTGCCTGTGTGTTGGTGTGTGTGTTCGTGTTGGTGTGTGCGTTCGTGTTGGTGTGTGTCTGTGTCAACAAAGGGCCTTAAAGCGCCATTTTTTTAGCCCGGCCAAGTGGCCGTCTGCGTCTGTGTGCGCCTCACATGGAAATGCTTTATCCGAGGTTTTGCCAACTTTTTCTACCCTTGCCGAGAGCATTTGAATTTGTTATCTGCTTGGACGTGCATGTTTTCGGATTTCAAGTCTTTAAATTTATGAGTTTTGAAAATGTCCGCATAAAACTCAGTCAAACTCAGACTTTACTTAGCTTTACTTGAAGTAAACGCAATATATATCAAAAAGCTAGCTTTCGTCAATTTTGTTTTTTCGCCCAAGAGTTATCGTGTTTACATCAAAGTGTATGCAAAAATTCAGCGACTGAAGAGTATCAGGTTAGGTGTATTTTTTATTGTCTTTTGTTTTCCCCTTAGATTTAGGTCGAATGTCGTTGTTGCTTTTGTTTTAACGTCGCCCGCAGACGACATAGACTGTATCTGGGCTTATCATGGAAGGTGACATAAAAAATTGACGTCAAAAAGAAAATGTAAACTTTTAATTTTAGATTTGCCGTTGCCGAGCAGATAAATTAGAAACAGCTGGATTTGAGGCGTAAATTAATTCAATTTGTTGCCTTAAATGTAAATAAACCGAATTGAGGGCGCGGTACTTGTGTTTTTCTTAACTTCTTTTAACATTTTGAATGCATTTCGTACTTGCCGCTAGCATTGAGAACCGTATTCAAGCTTTTATTTGCATTTGCCTCCCGATTCGCCTGCTTTTGCTACCTGGCTGTAACGAGCTATTTGCCAAGACCTTTAGCAAAGACACATAAAGCAGCTCGATGAGTCCTTTAAGCCAGAATTGAATGTTTTACCCTTCAGCCAGATTGTTGTAGTATTATATTACATGGCAGCGTATTTATTAAATAAAAACAAGTCGAAGTTTGTGAACATGTTTTATTCTATTATTTAAGTATTAAATTACTTTTTATTGGAGATTTTTCTCATGCTAGCAGATCCAGCCCTGTAATAGAATTTCCCCTTTAAGTGCTTGAGAAATTTGAGAATTTAATAAATTCCCAGCTCGAAGCTTGGCCAAACGAGTTATTCGTGTGCTTCATAGCGGAAAATATTTGATTTTTTGCTTTATCCAGCTCCCTTTATCGTATCATATAGAAAAGTGCAAAGAATAAGGTCGCGTCAAAGTCAGGCAAGCCTTATTAATTTTCTTTGTTGAATGCTGCGTTAAAGTGTTGCATGTTGCTGAGCGCGCCACTCCAAATGACAGCCGCAACATAGCAAAAATATACACATACAAAAAAAACAAAAAAAAAAAATAAAATAAACGAAGCCTCAAAGGAAAATACCAATTAAGTTGCATGTTGCTTTGAAATTGCCAGACAAAGTTTTGCTGCTGCAACAGCCACCTTTGATGAGTGGGCTTGGGGCATGGGGCATGGGGCATGAGGCATGTTCTGTGGACAGTCGACATCAGAAACAGTTGCACTTTCCGTGCTTCGGCCATCAACAATAAGCCCGACGCTAAACGAGAAAAATCAGTGTGCCTCCCAGAAAATTAAGTTAAATTCATGGAATCGTGCAGCGAATGTTTATCGAATGGATTCAACCTTGGAATACACTCAAATCCAATAAAATTGAAATGCTGTCGGCACAAAAACCAAAAACAAACATTTTACTGTTCCTTGAAAGAATTTCTCTGCAAAACTTGTTTTCACATTCGCTTGGGGTTTTGCCATGCATTCTGCCATTGCTTAAAAAGTGTAGCGAAATTCCTTATGGGAATTGTCGAATGATGAATTTGACTTGTGTTGAGTGTGTGAAAATGGAGAATGCCAGTCAAAATACAACCGAAACACATCTACTACTCAACTACCTATCGAACAATTGTTTTTCTTTTTTGCCTGCCAAACCAATCAATCGCTACATTATTTTGTACATTGTACATTTTGGTAAATATTTACAAAGTCTGTGTACCTTTGGATCAGCAGGAAGCTGCTATCAAGCAGAATCGGGGTTAGCCTGCAATTTCATAGTTGTTCTTTTTTTTTTGCCTCAAGCGAGACATTGAACTGAACTGGAAAAGATACTTTATTAAATTCAATATTATATTATATAATATTATATACCAGAGGGTGCAATTAAATCTCTGAAAAGCTGAGTACAGGGCACCTCCCCGTCGCAGACACCACATATTTAACGCGAATCGAACCAGCCACAATTTGTTTTCTGCTGCCAACCAGGATATGATATTATACCACACTCTGGGTGTAATTTATTCACTTGAAAGCTGAGTGCAGGGTACTTCTCCGTCGCATATACCCAATCCCTTATTTCGACTGACATTTGTAAGCAGAACTGTGGCGTACCTTTTGTATTTTTAATTGCTGCGCAGCTAACAAATGCTGTGCATAAGCCATGTAAAATTGCTTAATTTATTCAGAAATTGGTTGGAAACTGAAATCCGCACGATGAATTGGCGGAGAGCTAAGCTTGGTCGTAGCTCATGACAGATGGTTAAATGGCCTTAAAAATGTTTAATGAGCCGACATCGCGGTAATTGCATTGCATTAATTCGTAGCCCAGCGCGTCGTAGTTCAACGCGTTATTTCTGGCCCTTAAATGCATTAATTTCCAGCCATTTCTCAATTGATTTAACGTCGTTGAGTGGATCGTTTGCCTTGCAGCAAGCAGCCAACTACATCCCACTTTGGCAGCGTTAAGCTCAACAAATACTACAAAAAAGTGCACTCTAGTCGGTACACAAGCACCGCAGGCTCACAAAAAACTATTTCCACGGAATCCTTTCATATTATGTTGCACTTTTTGCCATCTCTGACCTTGTTTTAGACGCTGCCACTGCATGGATTTGAATCAGGGTCTTATATGATGCAACCAACATTAAAAGTGCGAACCAAATCCTCTTCTAGCGCTGACCACAATTGCGAGTCGTTAACAGTATTTACATTCATGCATTTAATTGCATTAAATATTAATGGCAACAACTTGCTGTCAGTGTGAATGTAATCAAGGTAATTAAGATTGTGCAAAACGGAGGAGCTAGACTAAACTAGTTGCTCGCAAAGTCCACACCTGCAATAATTATCTGAAAAGTCAACTTTAATTGTAGTTTTATTTGTGGATGGTGGCCAGCCCGTGTTTGTTTACTCAAATTACTTGGCTGACGTTCATGAATATACTTTAATTTATAACTATTATTTATCCACACAGGATAAAAAGCCAGACAGGATGAAAGCTGCAAGTACAGCAATACATTTTTAATTAATAATAGATATTTTTTTGTTCATTTGTTTGTTAAACAAAAGCTGTGAAAAGTGTTGAAAATACATAATTAAATTAAACAAATATTAATTTAAGCAAATAAGAGGTTCTAGTCGGGAGCTCCCGACTAGGGGATACCCTGAATCCTCATATTCCAACAAATGCAACTTGCTTTACTAGTAATAAAAATAAATTAAAAAGAAAATAATGTCCACGGTTGAGTTCGAACCCGCAACTGACCGCATTACTTGCTACTGCCTCTACTCAACAGCCACTCCAATAATTGAGTCTTGATGAGAAAAAACGGATTAAAATAGCAGCACAGATAACAAAACAATCGGAATTGCAATGCTGTTGATAGAATTCAAAGAAGACGCGCATGAATGAAATCATTAATGAAATTTTCTACTGTAGATCTTGGGCTATAGAATATTCGTGTATTCTCAAAATGACAATTGCATTTAAATTGTGGCTTTTATTGGAGGGAGGTACAAAAATTGGTGTATTTATTTGATCTAAATCTATGAGTTAGTAGCGGGGAGATGATGACAGATATAAAATGAAAGATACTTAATATATATATATACTATTCTAGAAGCTGCATGTCAAGTTTGGTGACTCCAGATCTTATTATTTACCAAAATTCCTCAAAAAACAGGATTTCGATATCGATTTTTATCGATTAATTGGAAACGGGGCAAGTTATCGAATATCGGAAACATACT